GGCAAGTTTCAATTTACCCAACTCATCAGCCTAAAAGCTACTATATCAGAGGGGGGGCGGGGGGAGGTTGGGGGAGTTTAGTCTAGTAAAGGGTAACAAAATTCAGCTGAAACAGCTCTGGTATATAGGCCATATATAAGTGGTTCCAGTAATATATGTTTAAGACCATTCTCGTGTGGACTGAAGCTCGCAACCTGGCACTTGTACGAAAAGGCTAGTGAGGACTTAGCCTATATAGCTAAGATGATAACCAGCTTGATTCAGTGACGTACAGGAGGTGGATGCCAAGAGCTTTCAGTTCCGGTTGAGTGAGCTGTTTGTGCTCCGTACACACACATACAGTACAAACAATATCCACCGATAGCCAATGTTGGCAGAAAAGTCAGAACAAATCCCGGAATTCTCTTTATAGGCTCAATGAAGTACCCTACAAAATATACCACTCTTGCTGTAACAAAGAGCGCAACCAACAACGGAATCCAATGCATGTTCTCTTCAGAAAGATAAGTCGACAATGCAACCAGACTAAACGAGTGAAGCATGAACTGTTCCAGAGTGTTTTGAAGGTACCTCTGTGGTAGCTCCGTGAACTTTCTCTCTTCAGGGTCCAGTGGCTTGATAGCGGAGGTCTTGAATCTTGTAATTCCAACCACGACGACACCAGTACAGATCGTAACAAGTGAAACTATTAACCATCGTAGTGTAAACACAACTCCATCGAGTAAAGTGGGAAGGTGGAGTTTAGGGAACGGAATGCATAATCCGGTCATGGTAAAACAGAATAAGAAAATGAATGCCATATTCCTGTAGTTGAGGACCATTTTTTGCTCTCTAGTGTATTTTTTCTCATCCTTTTCTGATTTGGTCACCATGGCGCAAGATCGCGTGTTGATAAGCACGTATTGAAATACAAGATCGACTTGTGTAACAAAATAGCTATCAACTTTGCAATTCAAATTTTGTGTTGCGCGATACTGAGTAGGTTATTAACCCAGAACGGTCACCTTCTTTGATTTTATTTTTCTTGCGGTTCCCCACCAAGAAGCCTGGTCCCAGGCTAGTGCCCTGATATTACAGGATTGGCAATTTTCAACTGAAAGTGATACTCAAAGGAAATAGCTATTTAAGAAAAAAAAGCAGTACTTTGTTGAAATAATAAAGCGGTACGTGTCGAGTAGAACCATTCTTCATTAACTTCACGAGGTTCTGCGATGGCACCTATTTCTAGCTTATATCAATCGGTAGAAATCCCAGCAAAGGCAAGTTTTCACCCCAGTTGACTCGTCACAGTCATGTACTGAACAGCTGATTGAAACCGAGTCCCTTATGATTCTTTATGTAATCATTTAACGCCAAAGGTCACACCATACACGCACATACAATACAAACAGTATCCAGTAACAGCCAGAGTTGGGTACGAGGTACTTGCAAATCCAACTCCTCGCTTCAAAGGGTCAATGGAATACCCAATGAAAAACAGAGCTCTTGCGATTATAAAGAGCACAATCAACAGCGGAATCCAATGCATCTTCTCTTCAGAAAGGTAAGTCGACAACGCTAGCAGACTGAATGAATGAAGCAGGAATTGCTCCACAGTGTTTTGAAGATACTGTTGACGAAGCTCTGTGAACTGTTTACCGCTCGGATCCAGTGGATTGATGGCAGCTGTAGCAAATCGCTTATTTCCAACTGCAATGACACCGGCATAGATTGCCAGTAGAGAAACCATCAGCCATCGTAGAGTGAAGACAACTCTGTCGATAAAATTGGGAAGATGCAGTCTGGGAAATGGTATGTAGGTCGCTGTTACCACATAAGCAAGCATGAAGATAACGGCGCAAAATATGCAAGTTTTCACTTTTGTTTGATCCTGGATTTGTTTTTTCTGCTCCTTTGATTCCCCCGACTCCATGGTACGAAGCGGGATTCTTTGTCGAGGCTATNTCAATCGGTAGAAATCCCAGCAAAGGCAAGTTTTCACCCCAGTTGACTCGTCACAGTCATGTACTGAACAGCTGATTGAAACCGAGTCCCTTATGATTCTTTATGTAATCATTTAACGCCAAAGGTCACACCATACACGCACATACAATACAAACAGTATCCAGTAACAGCCAGAGTTGGGTACGAGGTACTTGCAAATCCAACTCCTCGCTTCAAAGGGTCAATGGAATACCCAATGAAAAACAGAGCTCTTGCGATTATAAAGAGCACAATCAACAGCGGAATCCAATGCATCTTCTCTTCAGAAAGGTAAGTCGACAACGCTAGCAGACTGAATGAATGAAGCAGGAATTGCTCCACAGTGTTTTGAAGATACTGTTGACGAAGCTCTGTGAACTGTTTACCGCTCGGATCCAGTGGATTGATGGCAGCTGTAGCAAATCGCTTATTTCCAACTGCAATGACACCGGCATAGATTGCCAGTAGAGAAACCATCAGCCATCGTAGAGTGAAGACAACTCTGTCGATAAAATTGGGAAGATGCAGTCTGGGAAATGGTATGTAGGTCGCTGTTACCACATAAGCAAGCATGAAGATAACGGCGCAAAATATGCAAGTTTTCACTTTTGTTTGATCCTGGATTTGTTTTTTCTGCTCCTTTGATTCCCCCGACTCCATGGTACGAAGCGGGATTCTTTGTCGAGGCTATTGACTTTGCATCGAAGACCTTTAACATTTAGTGCAGGTCAAATGTGCCCGGGGCGGGGGTGGGGTGGGGGTGGCGCGTCGGTAGGTACTTGAGTTAATTTTGCTGGCTATGTGCCGCTGGCCCCTAGGAGCCCCTATAGCCCCATTATAGTCCATCCTGTGGCCAATTATAGACCACCCCATCTTAGTCACTCTTGGGCAAGTGTGTAATTTTCGCGATCCCAATTTAGTCACTTTCCATTTGTGTATCTACTTTATATTGAATGAAGAACACTTTGCTTTTCACCTACGATACAAACGATCTGGTACATTTGCTACCCGTAAAAATGAAGAACTGTCTAACCCTAAAAATCAGAAAATGTGCGTGGGTGAAGTAATAGCCAAAGTAGGACCCGACTTCTGACTTGTAGCCTGTTCCAGGCAGTGTTCAGATAGTAGCTAGAGTTCCCTCCTTTTTCGCTCTCGTTTTCCCCGCGTATGCGGGTCTTTTTCCCCGGCTCCCTAGCCAGCAAAGCAGACGTCTTTTGCAGCGTGACCCATGTTTTTTTTTTTTTTCGGAATAACGTTATCCCCCCATCTTGGACGTTAATACCACCAGAGAGTTGGAACGAGTTCAAGATGGCGGCCGCAATCAATGTACCTCTGAGCTTGCGTTAAAAAACACCTGCAGGCTACCGGTTCCCCACCATCTGAACACCGCGCGTTACTATCTGAACGCCTGGAACAGGCTATGTGATTTGTGAGTTCAATGTCTCCACTCAAAATAGGTCATGGCCCCATCCACACGTACCTGTTTTTGTTTGAAAACGGAGAAATTGGACTACCGTCCGCACGTATCCGGTGAAAACGCTCACCAAAATTGATGCAAAAATGCGTCATTTCAAGAGAGCTTTCCAGAGTGGAGATTTTTGAAAAGGACGTTTTAATGCTGTACTCGTGTGGATGGATGAAAACGCGGCCTTATCGAATTAAACTGCCTGACGATAACGTCCGGGTGTTGGATCCCAATATGTGCGCATGCTCCGATCAAGGATGGTATCCGTTTACAGCCATTATTGCGTTTTCTTGTGGACAACATAACCTGTCGAGGCGGATTAAAAAAAAACCGGGGAAAATAATCTCCGTTTTCATAACAACGGATACGTGTGAACGGAACCTTAGATAATGATCGATAATGACACGGTTTCGTGATGAGGGAAAAGGGTGACAATCGGCCTTACTTTGTACTTAGTAAGAAGTGTGGAAACTCTGTATTAGGCATTAGGCCCGTTTCAAACGTCGTGCTACTGCCGTACCGTACTCAGTTGTTCGAATTGAATTCGACTTAAGCACGGCAGTAGCGCGGCTTGGTTTCAAACGTCGTGCTACCGCCGTGCCGAACTCAATTCATAAATTATAAATATATTAGAATACATTTAAAAGTTTGCTAAATCGTTTCTATATTTTTGTGTCTTGTTTTTGGCAACAGCCGTGTTATTCAACTGAATTAAATTCGACGTCTGAAACCAAGTCGTGCCAGTGCCGTGCTGCAGTGGGCGAGCCAGCTTAGCACAGCAGTAGCGCGGTGGACGTTTGAAGCAGGCCTTATATTGTAGGCAGGGCTAAACATGGCTCTATACACATCTGAGACGCTGAGACCCTCGTTCAGAAACCCAGGGACATAACAATAGAACTGTCTGATGAAGTCTGTGATCGTACAAAGGCGTTTGCAGAAATATTGACATAGGTAGACGAGGCACTTTGTTTTGTACTGCTTAGCTAGTTACGTAGTATTTATCATATGAATAAGGCCTGTTTCAAACGTCTTGCTACTGCCGTGCTAAGCTGGCCGACTGTAGCTCGACTGCAGCACGACACTAGCACGACTTGATCTAATTCAGTCGAATAGAACGGCTGTTGTCGAAAACAAAACACAATAATAAAGAAACGGTTCAGCAAACTTTTAAATGTATTCTAATGAATTTGTAATTTATGAATTGAGTTCAGCCGTGTAGCACGGCAAGGCTTGCCGTGCTACACGGCAGTAGCACGACTTGGTTTCAAACGTCGCGCTACTGCCGTGCTAAAGTTAGCGATCAATTCAGTTCGGCGCGGCAGTAGCACGACGTTGAAACGGGCCTAAATAAACTGAAAGCAAGAACTCAGAAAATCGGAAGTCGGAAATCGGAAGTTGGAAGTCGGGAGTCGGAAATTCTTTCATTTGCTTTCGTATCATTTACATGCGCACGTACCTAACCGATTGACATAATTGCCATAGACAAACACAATTAATTTGACTTGTGGTTGGTCAAGGAAATAATCGTAACTCACAACCGTTAGGAGAGGAATTCTGTCAGCGGGTTGTTAGCTTTAATTATGGCATTCTTTAAAAACATCAAAAGTAAAGTTCGTGGTAAAGGTAAGCTATCAGTTGTACCATTGAATTAGTATCCTATTTCTTTAGTGTATAAGGTTTTAAAATCGGTCATGCAAAAACTGCTATTTTTACAACTGTACACTGGACTAGATGTATACGGCTGCCTTACCTATGCATTTCCAAATTAAAGAAAATCGAGTGATGTATCTAATCCAGCACTGCGGTAAAACTGGATTGAGTTTACTCGGTTTTTAATATTTCAGAGAATTGTTAAACAACCATTTTTGAGTGTGTTTGTTTATATTTCCTATTGGGGTTGCGCAGTTGAATTTTAATTTCATGTCCTCTGTAGCATTTGCCGTTATCGCTGGCCACTGTTTACTCTATCGTTTTCTCTCTAATTCTAGTTAATTCTGGTATTTACTCAAGAAAATTCTTAATATTACGGACAGGACCAATATCATTATCGATGTCGGCAAGCAGATTAAATTCTTCGTGTTTTGCGAGTTCCTCGTCATGCATGTTTATGTGGTATTATCTCAAAGCCGAAACAAACAACTGTATCAATAACTTTTAATTGTCTTATTTTGTCAAATATTTTAAGTTTCGCCAGGGTATCCTTCAAAAACCTCTTCATAAATGTTGATCGCGAGATAAAGGGCATTCATTACCTCAACAGTGTTTCGCCTGACCTCTTCAGTGCAAATAGAACAGATTCCAATGCAAATTTTGAGTGCTTAGGAACATTTTAATGACCTTGAGTGTGTGTGAGCCCCGGAAGGGGGGGGGGGCTACTCTACAAAGTTTTATACGGGGAGGCTTCGCCCCGAGGTCCAACCCGTTCGGAACCCTTTTTTATTCCATTTTTGACACTCCCAGCTAAGGTACCACTTTCTATGATCATTACCTTCTAAAGTCAAATGGAACCTCTTTCTTATACCTGGTTTAGAACTTTGCATCCCTTTTAACTGCTGTAGATACTCTGTCGTTAAATATGAATGAATAAATAAAAAACAGACCCCTTTTATCTTTTTTTTTTCAAAGCCATAAAATGCATCGCTTAGTCCTTGTATCCTTTGCTTTTACCGACCGTAAATACAGATTTCCCACACTTTCATATACTTAATTCAACAAGTGAAATCCCTACCCTTTCAAAAGCCTGAAAGGATACCTCCCCGTATAGGACATTATAGGGTGTATTCCGCCCCCCCCCCACCTCTTATTGTGCTCGGTGGGACAAAAAAATCAAACCCCCAAACGCAAATAATCACGCTTTAATATTATCATGTTTTAGGGTGGCCCCGGCCGAGTAACTACAGTGTTTTTTCTTTTACTTATTCCCTTTGTCCTGTTTTTGTTCCCACCCAAAATAAAATATTCCCCCACTTTTCACAACCTTATTTAAAAAACGAAAACCCCCCCCCTTTAAAAGCCCCAAAAGGTACCCCCCCGCTTAGGACAATTTAGGGGGGATTCCCCCCCCCCCCCCCAGTGTTTATGTGCTTCGGTGAGTCACAAAGTGAAACCGCGTAACGTAAGTTACCGACGCTTAACAATATCAAGTCTTCAGGAGGCCCCGGTCAGATGGCTTCACGTTTTATGCTAGTTAATTCCTGGGTACCTTATAGGGATAATAACAAACTTCAGCCAGGGACAAAATTCAGCCAGCTCCACTTATAAATATCAGGGGCACCCAACGACCATTTTCTGAGAAATTATCTGAAATGCCTCGTTATATATGCATCCTGGAGTGCTTTAAAAGCAATTAATATAACTGAATAATTCGCAACGCTAAAAAAATTTGATCTGTTCGGTCGTCCTAGCTGAGTGGTTTGAACCTCTCGAATTTTTTAGGGCTGCTTTTCGCCTTTCCCGAAAATAACAGCCTACAGTGAAAGCTTTACGTAAACTTAAGATTAGCTGACGAGCTTTTCCCTTAGCCGAAATTTTAGGGGTCCTTTCAAATTTTGTCCGAAAACTTTATCTATTGTGGGAATGTCTTCGAATTTTCTAGGGCGACGTAGCATGTATAGAAAATTCTAGGTTTAATAATAATAATGATAATAATAATAATAATAATAATAATAATAATAATAATAATAATAATAATAATAATAATAATAAAATAAGAAGAACAAAAGAAAAGGCATTTAAGCGATTTTAATGCCAGTTTCAAACGTCTTGTACCCTGCCGAACTCAATTCACACGGCACTTATTGAAAAATCTGAAATACGGCATGACACTTACTGATGACAGCGCACATTGAACGCAGTCAGCAGATACAGTGACAGTGGTAAGTCTGATATCTGTGATAACTACACAGAGTACTCAGCGTTCGCCCGTTGTCAGCGTTGTCTGGGTTATCCCTCCATCGGTAGTCCTACTGCGATGTCCTGAGTGTCCATCGACCGATACACAGGACTGACAGGCGCTATTCACACAGTCGGTCAGTCCTCAGAGTCATGAGTCACCACCTGTTCAGTCAGCATTATCATTGTCCGATGCGCGCTCTCATAGTGTTAGCGTCCGCGTAACCGGTAAGCCTGGTACCCTCAGAGAAGGGTCGTTGGGTTTGAAATCAGTTGTGTGAAATTTTCGATAATGGGATTTTTT